GGGAACGTATGTAGCTGCATTTGCTGAATTTCTGAGTGATGAAATCAAAATCTCATCAATCCCTTTTTGAAGTGACTATCTTCGCACAAGATATGCGGCACTGTTATGGAAATATGGTACCGACAAGGCTAAGGCGGGATACGTTAGCGAGAATGATGATCCTACAAGGCCAAAGAGTGACTTCCTTCCATCAACAGATGATGAAATGATTAATGTAGATTAGTATTTTATTTACTGACTGACAGTCAAGTGTTGAAGTTTTGTTGTTTTGAAGATTAACTGTTTTGTAGTATTCCTCATCAGGTTAACATGATACTTCTAAGTAATACATACTTCTAAATTTGAAGAATGTTTATGTCCATAATTTTTTATGTTGGTTTTTAATTTTTATTTTTTTTACAGTTTAATACATTCTTACAGTTTAATACTTTTAAATTTGAAGAATGTTTATGTCGATAATTTTTTATGTTGCTTTTAATTTTGTTTTCATTACAGTTTATTACTATAAATAATATACACATATGTATAACTCATAATATCTTGTAAGATACAAAAATTTTACAAAATTATTATGTACATGATACACCATTAGAAATTCCCTTCTTTTCCCCCAAAACTGACTCTCCCGGATACATTATTTCTTCAGCAAAGTAAACCCACGTCTCCAATTCCTAAAATCTCGCCTTCAATCTCTCTATATTATCAAATCAGTTATCTAATTCAAATCAATTTGAATTTCAAACGATTTCCAACTCTTTTCAACCACCTGTAAAGTTCAAAATAGGTATTATCATCTTCTTCGTTTTGTTTTGTTTCCACCACCTGTAAAGTTCAAAACAGGTATTATCACCTTCTTCGTTTTGCTTTTTTTTGTTTAATCGTTTTTGGCTCTTGCATTATGGATCCTTTATCTTTTAGTTTTGGGATTACCTAAATAGTATCACCGAACAATAATTTCATATTTGATTAAGAAGATCCCAACTGGGCAGAACTGAGATCTAAGAGGTTGCATGAACCGACAATAATGGTAAATCGAAGTTCAAAGAAGTCAAAATAAAAAAAGGAAGTACATGCATCATCTAAAACAAAGGATGCAAAAACTCCAAAGAAAAGGGGTAGAAAGGTTTCCCCCTCCTATATCTCGACCCACACTACCAATGGTATGCAATTTTTTTGTAATTTTTTTTTCGATATCGATTTTTGAACTTTATGTATTCCCCTACGTGTTATATCTTCTAACTTTGTCACATATAATAACAGTTGATACTATTTCACTATCCCATACAAAAGGTACAAAAATTTAAGTATCAGATACACAACATGTATATCAAACTTACTCTATCAGAAATTAACAAGTAAAAAAAGGTAGCCAGAATTGAAAACATTAACCTTTTCATTTATTGCATAAGAAAATAGTAAGCTAAAAGTACTTCAGAAAGTATCAAATTTAAAAATTATTAGACTTTAAACATCAAAGTAATCATCAAGAATCTTTTGGGTTGAAAGTACATGTTCT